AGATCCGGGGATCTATCGCTAGACATTGACTTTAGGGAGTCGCCACCAATCTTTTTTATCTAGGTGCGATTGGCCACCTATGGAATCTGTCCTTTCAGGGAACACCTAAGTTTAAGGGTCCCTAAAAGAATAGGTTCAGGTCTACTAACCAGAACAGGGTTCGGGAGTTCGGTTACGTGTGAGGAAGGTTATAGCACCCTCACAACGCCCATCAAAAGATGGTACCAGCTTAAATTTGTGTTATCCAAAAGCCTTAAAATTTTACCAAGTAATTAATTATTAGAAATTATTCTCAATTGACTCTAATACTTTTAGCAGAAAATTGAGAAAATTCCCTCACCTCAAGAGTATGCAAGAAAAACTACTGTTTCACTTGCAGAGGCTCCGTCGTCGGATTATTTAAAAGAAAAAAAACAAAATCAAAATTAAGATAGAAAGGAAGGAAAGAATGATTTTTTTTGTAGGGAAAATTGATACTTTCAACTTTTCCCCAAAAATATTTTTTGGAAATTTCGATTTTCAAGGAAAATTGATACTTTCAACTTTTCCCCAAAAATAATTTTTTTGAAATTTTGATTTTCAAGGAAAATTGATACTTTCAACTTTTCCCTAAAAATATTTTTTTTTTGAAATTTATTTCTGAGGAAAATTGATACTTTCAACTCTTCCCCAAAAATATTTTTTGGAAATTTATTTCTAAGGAAAATTGATACTTTCAACTTTTCCCTAAAAATATTTTTTTTTTGGAATTTTTTATTTTTATTTAAAGAAAATAAAATAATAAAAAATAAAAAAAAGAATATTACATAAACCTAATCTAATAAATAAAAAATAAAATAAACAAATAAACAAAGAAAAAAAAAAAAAAAAACCTGGAGCGGCTCGAATCGCGGCTCGGCTCGGCTCGGCTCAAGGAAGAGAAAATGGCTCGGGGGGAGCGACTTGGCTCGGCTCGGCTCGGCTCGGAGGGGGGCTGGCACGCGCGGGTCAGAAAGCGGGTCGACGCCCGGGTCGGGTCGGGTTCGGCAAAACGCGCGGATCCTCTGGGTTACTTAAGGCCAAAACGACGTCGTTTTGGGAGGGTATAAAAGGCACCTTCCTCCGTTTTTTCGGCAGAACGCTCCTCCCTCTCTCTCTCTTCTTCCCTTTTTCTCTCCCTTCTCTCTAAAAACCGAAGAACACCGGTGCCGGATTCTGGAAAATGTTGCCGGAATCTGGAATTTTCGCCGGAAGTTGGCCGGAAGATCGTCGGTTTCTGGGATTCTTCGCCGAAAACTGGGTAGGTCGCCGGAAGCTTCAAGGTTGGCCGGAATTTTTGCCGAAAAATTCAAATTTCGTCGGATTTTTCGCCAAAAATCTCTAAAAATTTTTTCTCACTCCCAGAACACTCCTAAACTTTTCCTAGCTTCCTATACGCCTCCTTTTCTCTCAAATCAGTAGCTTTGCTTACTGTTTTCTGTGTTTTCATTCTGTTCCAGGGGGTGCCTTTTATAGGGGTTGATCAGGAGTTCCTGATCAATCCCAATTCCTCCTTGGACGGAGATTCTGTCTTTGAATCTAATTGGACTCTTCTGATTGAGTTCCCCTCCACAGTGGGATTCTTCAGCCTTGAATCTTAGCCCTCCAAAATTAAAATCAAAATAAATAAAAAATACTAGATAATTAGAAAAGATAAATCAAAAGATATTATAGTAAAAAAAATATCTGATAATCAGGAAAAATCAGAACAGATAAAAAAATAATAATAAATATATAACTATATACATATAAATCTAATCTAATAGAAAAAATAAATATATACATATATTAATACATAATAATAATAAATAATACAATACATAAAATACAAAAGAAGAAGAAAAGAAGAAAAAAAAAATACAAGATAAAATTGAATTGGGCTTACCCATTTGGGTCAGGCCCAATTGATCTGGGCCGGACCCAATTGGGTGTCTACAGCTGCCCCTCTTTGCACATTTTCTGTGAAACAGAAATTGCGCAAAGACGTAGACACCCAATCAAGACTCAACTCAACATTTTTCGGTTTTTTTGGTTTTTTTGTTTTTTTTTTGTTTTTTTATTTTTTTGGTTTTTTTGTTTTTTGTTTTTTTTTTTTTTACCAAAGCTCCTCTAAACAGAGGCACCACGACTTTTGGAAAGTAAATTGCTCCTCTAAACAGAGGTACCACGACTTTGGAAAGTAAATTGCTCCTCCAAACAGAGGCAACGAACTTGGAAAAGTAAATTGCTCCTCTAAACAGAGGCAACGAACTTTGAAAAGTAAATTGCTCCTCTAAACAGAGGTACCACGACTTTGGAAAAGTAAATTGCTCCTCTAAACAGAGGCAACGAACTTTGAAAAGTAAATTGCTCCTCTAAACAGAGGTACCACGACTTTGGAAAAGTAAATTGCTCCTCTAAATAGAGGCAACGAACTTTGAAAAGTAAATTGCTCCTCTAAACAGAGGTACCACGACTTTGGAAAAGTAAATTGCTCCTCTAAACAGAGGCACCACGACTTTGGAAAGTAAATTGCTCCTCTAAACAGAGGCAACGAACTTTGAAAAGTAAATTACTCCTCTAAACAGAGGCAACGAACTTTGAAAAGTAAATTGCTCCTCTAAACAGAGGCACCACGACTTTGAAAAGTAAATTGCTCCTCTAAACAGAGGTACCACGACTTTGGAAAAGTAAATTGCTCCTCTAAACAGAGGCAACGAACTTTGAAAAGTAAATACTCCTAGACAATCATGTCCGAAGGAGTTGAAAGTTGTGTTTGAAGAGAATTTCAGGAGATCATGCCCAAAGGTCTTATAAATCAACCCTGATACCAAGAGATATCCTATTTCAAGGATTAAGAACTTACTTGACAAGTTTCTTCTCAAACTTGCAAAGTCTCTTCATATCTGTCTTTTTCATGTGGGATGTTGGAACACCCCTGCTTCTTGAATTTATACACTATACTTTCTTGAAAGTAGTGTATGCTATGCAATGTGCATGATTTTCAATGCATGCTATGCAAATGTTGGCCAATTAATTCCTGTTCAATGTATGGTACTCAAGTTTCTCAAGCTCTTTTTTTTCTTGGGTGTCAAGCCCTTTGATTCCTCAAGGATCCAATTGCACTGCTCTTCTAAGATCGAACCAGTGTAGCTCTCAATTTGTCTTTTCCACTCACATTTTCCCTTGTTCAGTTTCTCAATACTTTGGAATAAACTTCATCAATTGATCATCACTTGACTAACAAATTTCAAAACAAGTTTCATCCACCATCACTGGGTCATTGTCTCAGCATTAACCATTCCAAAACAAACTCTGTCCACTGATTGTTCAATCATAACTTGCAAGTCATATCAATCAATTCATCACTTTTCAAGATTTGCCCCATTATATCATATACCTTTTCAAATCATCTCCTTTAGGTTTCTACCATTTCTTCATCATCTTAGATTTCTTTTCAAATGAATGCAAGACTCTTTTAAGCACATATTCATTCATTTATTATCATTTCAAATCTTGACAAATACAATGCAACCAAGCATTTTCTCAATTCATTCTAGGGGTGAAACAATGAGAGAACACAAAGTGAATTATGGTAAAGATAATCAATGAAGATCTGTTTTGATACAAAGCAAATGGGAAAGGAAATGAATTGGATACATGTCATTGGGATGGATGGTATGTCTAAATGATGAATATTCAGACAATTCTCAACATTAATCTAGGATTCTTTTTCAAAAACTCATTCCATTTACTGTTGAAGTCATCTTAAGCTTGGCGAACTCTGCCCCAGTCTTTGAGGGATCTTCAGATGTCTTTGATCTTTCATTCATGTGAGCCATTTGACCTGGATCTTTTTTTTTTTTTTTGGTACCAAAATCACCCTTTTAGGTTTTCAATTTGGATTTCTTTTTTCATTTTTTCATTTTTTCATTTTTTCATTTTTTCTTCTTTCTTTTTTTTTTTTTTTTTTCATCATCTTTTTTTTCCTCATTCTTCACCCATTATTGACATCCTTCATACATCAAACTTTTAAGGTAATGTAGCATGATTCCATCGCTTCATCATGAGCATGCCTTCGCTCAACATATGATCATTCAAGTTGAGTATTCACACTTGATCCAAATGGACTTTTCAAGGTTGTAATGTAGGTCAAGGTGAAGGGTCATAAAAAAATGGATATAATAGGCTCAAAACATATATTAAAAAGGTTCAAAACCAAAGGATCATTTGATGCAGCTTGGCATTTTGCCCCCACACCATTTCACTACTTTTTTTCTTTCCTCACACAAAGGATTCTCATTACTTTGCCCCAAGTCATGTGTGGCTTTTATTTTTCTTTTGCTTTTCTTTCTCTTTCTATTTTTGAGACCTTTTGTGGTATTTTTTTTCTTTTCTTTTTTTTTCAAAATTTACCCTCCAGTATAGAGGGTGATCCTTGGTTGGGGTTCTTCCAAAAAAAAAAAAATGATAAGCTCAAAGGGGTAACAATAAATGGTTTTTCAAATGGTAAAAGAAAGATGGCAATTTTTCATCTCAATTATGAATACCTTTCTTGAACATCATCTATTGAACAAAGCTCATGAACTTGTATAAAAGATTACACACCTTCAAGACATATCTATTTCACCTTCAGTAATAGCTTACTTTTTGCTCAAATCATCTCCTCACATTGACGTGGATGAGTTCTCAAAATTAAATCTCAGAATTATTGTTATCATTGTCTAAATATTTATCATCTGAAATTTAAGAATGGGAATGTGAAGTTATGGAAGGTAACAAAGCATGGAGTAATGGTCAAGTGAAAGAGAAAATATAATGAAATGCATTAACTTGCCCTTATTAAGATGATAACAAGTGAAATCATATTGCAAAAAAGAAATCCTAACATTACTTTAAAAGAACTCTTAAAATGACAAGTGGCATTCAACCAGTTTTAACATCCTCTTTAAAATCATGCCCCTGGGCAACCAGGTGAAGGATTTTTATCTCGTCCCATTGATTCATCGTGACTCTTCATATTCTTGATCTTCAAACAAAATGATTGGGCTTTTCCTGCTAAGTTCTAAAGATACAAGCTTGACCATTTGAGTGGCTACTTTCATTATCATGCTCCCTGTTATAGTGTTTCTGGTAAAGGCAATCTTGTCAACATTGAGATGAGATGCCAAAGAAATCATAACTTTCGGAGCTCGATCCAGTTAAAATGTTCAAGACACCTGAAGGAAACCAAACCGTCCTACACATGTCAGCCAGCTCCCAAACAGGTGATAGATACCAAACTCGAAAGGTTTCAATATTGCCAGGCCATAATCTACATGCCAAGCAAGAAGCTTACTTTTCAGGCTGTCATCAACAGTGGATAACTTCCATAGGAGTAATCAATCCAATGACTCTAAGTGGTTCCTTAAGCACATAACTCTTAAATGTCTCAATAGGGAAGAGAGATGGCAACCTTTTTACTTTCACATCTAAACTTTTGGCAAGGTACGTATAGTACTCAAAATATCCAACAACATCATCAATGTCTTAAGTTGCCTCATCAAGTGGTTTTCCGTAATCAATTGCTCAGCTTTGCTAATTCAAATTTTTTCTTTGTTGTTTGGAAACGATGGCCCGTAAATACTTGGCATGAACAGTGTCAGAAGCTGAAGCCTAATCTTTGCTTTTGTTTCTAGAAAAAGCTCTCTGAGCAGTAGCCACCACAAGCTTCACATCTTCAACTGTAGCTGTTGGAATATGATCGATGTTCTGTTCAATTGAAATTCACTTCTTGAAAAACAGGCTCTCTCCACTCGCTGTCGATGAGTAACATTTGACTTAAAATTTGGACCACCATATTAAATCAGTTTGCCCCTAAAATCTTATTCAACTCCCCTTTTAACTTTTCCTGAGCTTTCTCTATTCTCTCAAGACGACTGAAATTTTTTTGTTCCATTAGTCTAGCTTGAGCTCTTGTATTGGTGAGTGGGGTTATTTGGTGGAGCTATCCTTGAACCTCTAGCACCACAATTATGATTAAAACTGCTATGTTATGCTTTATGTATGATGCTTTGATGCACGAATGAAATGAACATTTTTTTGAATGAAATCTAATATGAAATGGATGCAAATGATTGTGTTAAAACATGATCATGAAAGTAATACAGATGCATAAAATCAGACAAACAATACAATTAGTTTCATAGATGAAATGAAAATGATGTTGATGCGTAATGTTACATATGATAATGAAAATGATGCACAAAGTCAGACAATCAAGATGATTAGATAAGCACCCTTTTTGTGTCTTAATTTCAGGGTATATCTATCATTGGGTAGAAAGGGCTCTATCCTAGGTTTAGGCACTCTTAAGGTTCACTACATGCGATTTTAAGGTCAGAGTCTAAAGGTCCTCAAATTGTTCCTTACATCCTTGTCCATCATAGACTAGTAAGGCACCCTAATCCTCACCCATTACAGGCTACAAGTGGAAAATGTTCAATTTGAGTGGGAGTATTTCGCTAGCCACTGCGAAGGTATTAGACCTCACGAAAGCAATAGGTATTTTACTCCCTCCTAGAGGGACGGAGCTCGGGTGTAGAGCTCATGTTATGCACATGCGCATGAATGACATAATTAACAATACAAATAAACATGAATGAATAACAACACATATATACAAAAGGGTTAAATTTTATTAGGCTTTTGGATAACACAAATTATTTGCTGGCCTGACTCTCAAGGTCCCCAGCGGAGTCGCCAAGCTGTCGTAACGTCTAGATCCGGGGATCTATCGCTAGACATTGACTTTAGGGAGTCGCCACCAATCTTTTTTATCTAGGTGCGATTGGCCACCTATGGAATCTGTCCTTTCAGGGAACACCTAAGTTTAAGGGTCCCTAAAAGAATAGGTTCAGGTCTACTAACCAGAACAGGGTTCGGGAGTTCGGTTACGTGTGAGGAAGGTTATAGCACCCTCATAACGCCCATCAAAAGATGGTACCAGCTTAAATTTGTGTTATCCAAAAGCCTTAAAATTTTACCAAGTAATTAAATATTAGAAATTATTCTCAATTGACTCTAATACTTTTAGCAGAAAATTGAGAAAATTCCCTCACCTCAAGAGTATGCAAGAAAAACTACTGTTTCACTTGCAGAGGCTCCGTCGTCGGATTATTTAAAAGAAAAAAAACAAAATCAAAATTAAGATAGAAAGGAAGGAAAGAATGATTTTTTTTGTAGGGAAAATTGATACTTTCAACTTTTCCCCAAAAATATTTTTTTGGAAATTTCGATTTTCAAGGAAAATTGATACTTTCAACTTTTCCCCAAAAATAATTTTTTTGAAATTTTGATTTTCAAGGAAAATTGATACTTTCAACTTTTCCCTAAAAATATTTTTTTTTGAAATTTATTTCTGAGGAAAATTGATACTTTCAACTCTTCCCCAAAAATATTTTTTGGAAATTTATTTCTAAGGAAAATTGATACTTTCAACTTTTCCCTAAAAATATTTTTTTTTGGAATTTTTTATTTTTATTTAAAGAAAATAAAATAATAAAAAATTAAAAAAAGAATATTACATAAACCTAATCTAATAAATAAAAAATAAAATAAACAAATAAACAAAGAAAAAAAAAAAAAAAACCTGGAGCGGCTCGGATCGCGGCTCGGCTCGGCTCGGCTCAAGGAAGAGAAAACGGCTCGGGGCGAGCGGCTTGGCGGCTTGGCTCGGCTCGGCTCGGCTCGGCTCGGAGGGGGCTAGCACGCGCGGGTCAGAAAGCGGGTCGACGCCCGGGTCGGGTCGGGTTCGGCAAAACGCGCGGATCCTCTGGGTTACTTAAGGCCAAAACGACGTCGTTTTGGGAGGGTATAAAAGGCACCTTCCTCCGTTTTTTCGGCAGAACGCTCCTCCCTCTCTCTCTCTTCTTCCCTTTTTCTCTCCCTTCTCTCTAAAAACCGAAGAACACCGGTGCCGGATTCTGGAAAATGTTGCCGGAATCTGGAATTTTCGCCGGAAGTTGGCCGGAAGATCGTCGGTTTCTGGGATTCTTCGTCGGAAACTGGGTAGGTCGTCGGAAGCTTCAAGGTTGGCCGAAATTTTCGCCGAAAAATTCAAATTTCGTCGGATTTTTCGCCAAAAATCTCTAAAAATTTTTCTCACTCCCAGAACACTCCTAAACTTTTCCTAGCTTCCTATACGCCTCCTTTTCTCTCAAATCAGTAGCTTTGCTTACTGTTTTCTGTGTTTTCATTCTGTTCCAGGGGGTGCCTTTTATAGGGGTTGATCAGGAGTTCCTGATCAATCCCAATTCCTCCTTGGACGGGGATTCAGTCTTTGAATCTAATTGGACTCTTCTGATTGAGTTCCCCTCCACAGTGGGATTCTTCAGCCTTGAATCTTAGCCCTCCAAAATTAAAATCAAAATAAATAAAAAATACTAGATAATTAGAAAAGATAAATCAAAAGATATTATAGTAAAAAAATATCTGATAATCAGGAAAAATCAGAACAGATAAAAAAATAATAATAAATATATAACTATATACATATAAATCTAATCTAATAGAAAAAATAAATATATACATATATTAATACATAATAATAATAAATAATACAATACATAAAATACAAAAGAAGAAGAAAAGAAGAAAAAAAAATACAAGATAAAATTGAATTGGGCTTACCCATTTGGGTCAGGCCCAATTGATCTGGGCCGGACCCAATTGGGTGTCTACAGCTGCCCCTCTTTGCACATTTTCTGTGAAACAGAAATTGCGCAAAGACGTAGACACCCAATCAAGACTCAACTCAACATTTTTCGGTTTTTTTGTTTTTTTTGTTTTTTTTTGTTTTTTTGTTTTTTTGGTTTTTTTGTTTTTTGTTTTTTTTTTTTTACCAAAGCTCCTCTAAACAGAGGCACCACGACTTTTGGAAAGTAAATTGCTCCTCTAAACAGAGGTACCACGACTTTGGAAAGTAAATCGCTCCTCTAAACAGAGGCAACGAACTTGGAAAAGTAAATTGCTCCTCTAAACAGAGGCAACGAACTTTGAAAAGTAAATTGCTCCTCTAAACAGAGGTACCACGACTTTGGAAAAGTAAATTGCTCCTCTAAACAGAGGCAACGAACTTTGAAAAGTAAATTGCTCCTCTAAACAGAGGTACCACGACTTTGGAAAAGTAAATTGCTCCTCTAAATAGAGGCAACGAACTTTGAAAAGTAAATTGCTCCTCTAAACAGAGGTACCACGACTTTGGAAAAGTAAATTGCTCCTCTAAACAGAGGCACCACGACTTTGGAAAAGTAAATTGCTCCTCTAAACAGAGGCACCACGACTTTGGAAAGTAAATTGCTCCTCTAAACAGAGGCAACGAACTTTGAAAAGTAAATTGCTCCTCTAAACAGAGGCAACGAACTTTGAAAAGTAAATTGCTCCTCTAAACAGAGGCACCACGACTTTGAAAAAGTAAATTGCTCCTCTAAACAGAGGTACCACGACTTTGGAAAAGTAAATTGCTCCTCTAAACAGAGGCAACGAACTTTGAAAAGTAAATACTCCTAGACAATCATGTCCGAAGGAGTTGAAAGTTGTGTTTGAAGAGAATTTCAGGAGATCATGCCCAAAGGTCTTATAAATCAACCCTGATACCAAGAGATATCCTATTTCAAGGATTAAGAACATACTTGACAAGTTTCTTCTCAAACTCGCAAAGTCTCTTCATATCTGTCTTTTTCATGTGGGATGTTGGAACACCCTTGCTTCTTGAATTTATACACTATACTTTCTTGAAAGTAGTGTATGCTATGCAATGTGCATGATTTTCAATGCATGCTATGCAAATGTTGGCCAATTAATTCCTGTTCAATGTATGGTACTCAAGTTTCTCAAGCTCTTTTTTTTCTTGGGTGTCAAGCCCTTTGATTCCTCAAGGATCCAATTGCACTGCTCTTCTAAGATCGAACCAGTGTAGCTCTCAATTTGTCTTTTCCACTCACATTTTCCCTTGTTCAGTTTCTCAATACTTTGGAATAAACTTCATCAATTGATCATCACTTGACTAACAAATTTCAAAACAAGTTTCATCCACCATCACTGGGTCATTGTCTCAGCATTAACCATTCCAAAACAAACTCTGTCCACTGATTGTTCAATCATAACTTGCAAGTCATATCAATCAATTCATCACTTTTCAAGATTTGCCCCATTATATCATATACATTTTTAAATCATCTCCTTTAGGTTTCTACCATTTCTTCATCATCTTAGATTTCTTTTCAAATGAATGCAAGACTCTTTTAAGCACATATTCATTCATTTATTATCATTTCAAATCTTGACAAATACAATGCAACCAAGCATTTTCTCAATTCATTCTAGGGGTGAAACAATGAGAGAACACAAAGTGAATTATGGTAAAGATAATCAATGAAGATCTGTTTTGATACAAAGCAAATGGGAAAGGAAATGAATTGGATACATGTCATTGGGATGGATGGTATGTCCAAATGATGAATATTCAGACAATTCTCAACATTAATCTAGGATTCTTTTTCAAAAACTCATTCCATTTACTGTTGAAGTCATCTTAAGCTTGGCGAACTCTGCCCCAGTCTTTGAGGGATCTTCAGATGTCTTTGATCTTTCATTCATGTGAGCCATTTGACCTGGATCTTTTTTTTTTTTTTTTTTGGTACCAAAATCACCCTTTCAGGTTTTCAATTTGGATTTCTTTTTTCATTTTTTCATTTTTTCATTTTCTCATTTTTTTTCTTTCTTTTTTTTTTTTTTTTCATCATCTTTTTTTTCCCTCATTCTTCACCCATTATTGACATCCTTCATACATCAAACTTTTAAGGTAATGTAGCATGATTCCATCGCTTCATCATGAGCATGCCTTCGCTCAACATATGATCATTCAAGTTGAGTATTCACACTTGATCCAAATGGACTTTTCAAGGTTGTAATGTAGGTCAAGGTGAAGGGTCATAAAAAAATGGATATAATAGGCTCAAAACATATATTAAAAAGGTTCAAAACCAAAGGATCATTTGATGCAGCTTGGCATTTTGCCCCCACACCATTTCACTACTTTTTTTCTTTCCTCACACAAAGGATTCTCATTACTTTGCCCCAAGTCATGTGTGGCTTTTATTTTTCTTTTGCTTTTCTTTCTCTTTCTATTTTTGAGACCTTTTGTGGTATTTTTTTTCTTTTCTTTTTTTTTCAAAATTTACCCTCCAGTGTAGAGGGTGATCCTTGGTTGGGGTTCTTCCAAAAAAAAAAATGATAAGCTCAAAGGGGTAACAATAAATGGTTTTTCAAATGGTAAAAGAAAGATGGCCATTTTTCATCTCAATTGTGAATACCTTTCTTGAACATCATCTATTGAACAAAGCTCATGAACTTGTATAAAAGATTACACACCTTCAAGACATATCTATTTCACCTTCAGTAATAGCTTACTTTTTGCTCAAATCATCTCCTCACATTGACGTGGATGAGTTCTCAAAATTAAATCTCAGAATTATTGTTATCATTGTCTAAATATTCATCATCTGAAATTTAAGAATGGGAATGTGAAGTTATGGAAGGTAACAAAGCATGGAGTAATGGTCAAGTGAAAGAGAAAATATAATGAAATGCATTAACTTGCCCTTATTAAGATGATAACAAGTGAAATCATATTGCAGAAAAGAAATCCTAACATTACTTTAAAAGAACTCTTAAAATGACAAGTGGCATTCAACCAGTTTTAACATCCTCTTTAAAATCATGCCCCTGGGCAACCAGGTGAAGGATTTTTATCTCGTCCCATTGATTCATCGTGACTCTTCATATTCTTGATCCTCAAACAAAATGATTGGGCTTTTCCTGCTAAGTTCTAAAGATACAAGCTTGACCATTTGAGTGGCTACTTTCATTATCATGCTCCCTGTTATAGTGTTTCTGGTAAAGGCAATCTTGTCAACATTGAGATGAGATGCCAAAGAAATCATAACTTTCGAGCTCGATCCAGTTAAAATGTTCAAGACACCTGAAGGAAAACCAACCGTCCTACACATGTCAGCCAGCTCCAAACAGGTGATAGATACCAACTCGAAAGGTTTCAATATTGCAGCATAATCTACAGCCAAAGCAAGAGCTACTTTTCAGGCTGTCATCAACAGTGGATACTTCCATAGAGTAATCAATCCAATGACTCTAAGTGGTTCCTTAAGCACATAACTCTTAAATGTCTCAATAGGAAGAGAGATGGCAACCTTTTACTTCACATCTAAACTTTTGGCAAGGTACGTATAGTACTCAAAATATCCAACAACATCATCAATGTCTTAAGTTGCCTCATCAAGTGGTTTTCCGTAATCAATTGCTCAAGCTTTGCTAATTCAATTTTTTTCTTTGTTGTTTTGGAAACGATGGCCCGTAAATACTTGGCATGAACAGCGTCAGAAGCTGAAGCCTAATCTTTGCTTTTGTTTCTAGAAAAAGCTCTCTGAGCAGTAGCCACCACAAGCTTCACATCTTCAACTGTAGCTGTTGGAATATGATCGATGTTCTGTTCAATTGAAATTCACTTCTTGAAAAACAGGCTCTCTCCACTCGCTGTCGATGAGTAACATTTGACTTAAAATTTGGACCACCATATTAAATCAGTTTGCCCCTAAAATCTTATTCAACTCCCCTTTTAACTTTTCCTGAGCTTTCTCTATTCTCTCAAGACGACTGAAATTTTTTTGTTCCATTAGTCTAGCTTGAGCTCTTGTATTGGTGAGTGGGGTTATTTGGTGGAGCTATCCTTGAACCTCTAGCACCACAATTATGATTAAAAATGCTATGTTATGCTTTATGTATGATGCTTTGATGCACGAATGAAATGAACATTTTTTTGAATGAAATCTAATATGAAATGGATGCAAATGATTGTGTTAAAACATGATCATGAAAGTAATACAGATGCATAAAATCAGACAAACAATACAATTAGTTTCATAGATGAAATGAAAATGATGCTGATGCGTAATGTTACATATGATAATGAAAATGATGCACAAAGTCAGACAATCAAGATGATTAGATAAGCACCCTTTTTGTGTCTTAATTTCAGGGTATATCTATCATTGGGTAGAAAGGGCTCTATCCTAGGTTAAGGCACTCTTAAGGTTCACTACATGCGATTTTAAGGTCAGAGTCTAAAGGTCCTCAAATTGTTCCTTACATCCTTGTCCATCACAGACTAGTAAGGCACCCTAATCCTCACCCATTACAGGCTACAAGTGGAAAATGTTCAATTTGAGTGGGAGTATTTCGCTAGCCACTGCGGAGGTATTAGACCTCACGAAAGCAATAGGTATTTTACTCCCTCCTAGAGGGACGGAGCTCGGGTGTAGAGCTCATGTTATGCACATGCGCATGAATGACATAATTAACAATACAAATAAACATGAATGAATAACAACACATATATACAAAAGGGTTAAATTTTATTAGGCTTTTGGATAACACAAATTATTTGCTGGCCTGACTCTCAAGGTCCCCAGCGGAGTCGCCAAGCTGTCGTAACGTCTAGATCCGGGGATCTATCGCTAGACATTGACTTTAGGGAGTCGCCACCAATCTTTTTTATCTAGGTGCGATTGGCCACCTATGAGAATCTGTCCTTTTCAGGGACACACCTAGTTTAAGGGTTTTTCCCTTTAAAAAAGAAAATTTTTTTTGGTTCAGTCTAAACCAGAAACAGGTTCGGGAGTTCGGTTACGTGTGTAGGAAGGTTATAGCACCCTCACACGCCTCAAAAGATGGTACCAGCTTTAAATTTTGTGTTTTCCAAAAGCTTAAAATTTTACCAAGTAATTATATTATTAGAAATTATTCTCATTGACTCTATACTTTTAGCCAGAAATTGAGAAATCCCTCACCTCAAGGTATGCCCAAGAAAAACTACTGTTTCACTGCAGAGCTCCGTCGTCGGAATTACTTTAAAGAAAAAAAAACAAAATCAAAATTATGATAGAAAGGAAGGAAAGAATGATTTTTTGTATGGGAAAATTGATACTTTCAATTTTCCCCAAAAATATTTTTTTTGGAAATTTTCGATTTTCATAGAAAATTGATTCTTTCAACTTTTCCCCAAAAATAATTTTAAAATTTTGATTTTCAAGGAAAATTGATACTTTCAACTTTTCCCTAAAAATATTTTTTTTTTGAAATTTATTTCTGAGGAAAATTGATACTTTCAACTCTTCTCCAAAAATATTTTTTGGAAATTTGTTTCTAAGGAAAATTGATACTTTCAACTTTTCCCTAAAAATATTTTTTTTTGGAATTTTTTATTTTTATTTAAAGAAAATAAAATAATAAAAAATAAAAAAAAGAATATTACATAAACCTAATCTAATAAATAAAAAATAAAATAAACAAATAAACAAAGAAAAAAAAAAAAAAAACCTGGAGCGGCTCGGATCGCGGCTCGGCTCGGCTCAAGGAAGAGAAAACGGCTCGGGGGGAGCGGCTTGGCGGCTTGGCTCGGCTCGGCTCGGCTCGGAGGGCGGCTGGCACGCGCGGGTCAGAAAGCGGGTCGACGCCCGGGTCGGGTCGGGTTCGACAAAACGCGCGGATCCTCTGGGTTACTTAAGGCCAAAACGACGTCGTTTTGGGAGGGTATAAAAGGCACCTTCCTCCGTTTTTTGGCAGAACGCTCCTCCCTCTCTCTCTCTTCTTCCCTTTTCTCTCCCTTCTCTCTAAACCGAAGAACACCGGTGTCGGATTCTGGAAAAATGTTGCCGAATCTGGAATTTTCGCCGGAGTTGGCCGGAAGATCGCCGGTTTTGGGATTCTTCGTCGGAAACTGGGTAGGTCGCCGGAAGCTTCAAGGTTGGCCGGAATTTTCGCCGGAAAATTCAAATTTCGCCGGATTTTTTGCCGGATTCTGAAAATTTCCCAGAAATTTCCAGAAAAATTTTTCGCCAAAAATCTCTAAAAATCTTTCTCACTCCCAGAACACTCCTAAACTTTTCCTAGCTTCCTATACGCCTCCTTTCTCTCAAATCAGTAGCTTTGCTTACTGTTTTCTGTGTTTTCATTCTGTTCCAGGGGGTGCCTTTTATAGGGTTGATCAGGAGTTCCTGATCAATCCCAATTCCTCCTTGACGGGATTTCAGTCTTTGAATCTAATTGGACTCTTCTGATTGAGTTCCCCTCCACAGTGGGATTCTTCAGCCTTGAATCTTAACCCTCCAAAATTTAAAATAAAAAAAAATAAAAATACTAGATAATTAGAAAGATAAATCAAAAGATATTATAGTAAAAAAAATCTGATAATCAGGAAAATCAGAACAGATAAAAAAAATAATAATAAATATATAACTATAACATATAAATCTAATCTAATAGAAAAAATAAATTATTACATATATTAATACATAATAATAATAAATAATACAATACATAAATACAAAGAAGAAGAAAAGAAGAAAAAAAAAATACAAGATAAAATTGAATTGGGCTTACCCATTTGGGTCAAGCCCAATTGATCTGGGCCGGACCCAATTGGGTGTCTACAGATATAATTCTAGGATGATAAATCCTATGTAATCAAAGTTGTATGGAATCAATGAAAATTTCTAGTCTTGAAATTTGTCCAGGAGCAAATATTTTTCACTTGCATTCGTGCATCATTTGCACCATTTTTTTCCCAAAAAAAAATTTCAAAAAGAATAAATTTTTGACACATGGCATTCTAATTTTTCTAAAAATTTTGTGATAATAAAGGTTCAAGAATAGCTCACCCTTCAAAAATTTTGACTCAACCCACTCATCATTCATACAACACCAAGACTCAAAAAGAATTATAGAACAAGAATAGACCAGTCAATTTGAGAGAATCGAGAAAGCTCAAAAAGAACTAAGAGGGGATTTCAGTATAATAATGAATATGTTCAGGAAACTTGACAAGGGAAAAGCAATAGAAGAAAATCTCAGCTTTCAAGAGCAATCGTCAAACATGATGGATCCTGTTTACCCTTCAGGGTTTGAGCCACAATCAACTCAACCTTCTCAAAAAACTAGAGTACAAATTCCTATTCCTGGTGGATATCCCCATCTTTATCCAAGAATGACATCCACACCTACTCTAAGACAATTTCAAAATTTTGTTAATCCTATCATGATGGAAAAACCACCCGAGCCAATCCTAATTCTTGATTTGAATGATCCCAAAGAAAAAGAAAAGCTAGGGATAAAGATATCTGAGAAAGTGGAAGATAATAGTGCCCAAAAAAAATGAAGTTATTAGAAGAAAAGCTTAGAGTAGTGGAAGGAATGAATTTTTATGGTTTCACAGATGCAATCGAGCTTTGTTTAGTCCCTGATGTGGTCATTCCACCTAAATTCAAGGTCTCTGAATTTGAAAAATATGATGGCACAAATACCCGATGACTTATATCACCATGTATTATCGAAAGATGGTAGCACATACTCACGATGAGAAGTTGTTAATGCACATATTTCAAGATAGTCTTATGGGTTCTGTAGCTAGATGGTATGTTCAATTAGATATGACTCGTATTCATTCTTAGTAAGAGCTTACAAAGGCATTCCTTACACAATATCGACATGTCACGGATTTGGTTCCAGATCGTCTATCTCTACAAAGTATGAAAAAAAAAGCAACTAAAAACTTTAAAGAGTATGCACAAAGATGGAAAGACGTGGCTGCATAAGTCCAACCTTCTCTCACCGAGAAAGAAACAACTATTTTATTTATGAATACTTTGAAAGCACCATACTATGAAAGATTGATAGGTAATGCAACCAAGAACTTTATA